GATATATACACAATTAAAATAAGAGGATTTCCTCATGAAAAATAAAATCCTCTTTGTTCAGCGACCTCTTGTTGGAGAGAATCAGTGCTTTACATAAGACATGAAGACTTAGACAATAAAGAATCACAAAGCACACGAGTGGATGTAAAACAAATGGTTTTAGATCATCAGTTAGATGGGTAAAAGGTTGAAAATAGGTTTCTAGCAGTGCTGTTTGTGTGTTAACTTCAAAGTTTGCCATCACAATTTTCTGTTACATTAACAGACATGGCTTTACTTGAGCTATGCAGCCAGCACAGCTAAAAATAAACGTGGATTACCTTCCTGCAGCCTCAAATCTCTGGGAGTTGATTGTCATAATGTAGAGAAATGAACAGAATTCGGCGGCTGCCTGGAAGGAAGAAAACTAAGCTAAAAATATTTGTATTCTTTGGAAAATAGGTCACTGTATTTGTTTATTCCAGCACCCTGCACATGTACAGCCTTTGTGTTTAAAAAAAAAACATATAGAGAAATCCACACTTTACACAGCTACATGTGCACATGCCGGGAATGGAGGAATCACAATTCCAGCAACAGTTAGCGTGGAAACTCCTTCCAGTGCAGCTGCTGTTCTTACATTGCAGTCCTTTTATGACTGCTTGCACTGGAGCTTCTACTGTGTCATCACAGACAAATCACAATTTTGTCACAAATTTGCTGCGCCTCAGGGCCCAAACAGGAGCTTTTAGTCAGTCTGCAGTGTCCAAGCCCTGTGATGGAGCATCACGCTGCCAATGCTGTCTTCTAGTTTAGCATCCTGAGGCATCTGAACATTATGGAGGAACATTCAGTGATGTTTCAGGATCATCACACATGTGAGCTGGTTCTCTAGCCAGAACTTGGAGAACCAAAGAGAAACCTTGTTAAAGAAGCTGCATAGTCCAATCCTGAAGCTGGTGTATCAGCTCAGGAGCCTGATCCTAAAGTGGGTGTGCACCTTAAACGTGTCCCTCATAGTCACACTGTCAATGTAGAGTTTCACTATAACTACATGACATGGAAACAGCTTTGGCCCTTCAGATGTAAGATTTTTAAGACCGATACTGATACCAATATTTGGTGATTTTAAAAAATCTGATATACCGACAGATTTTTTTCTTTCAAACACACGAAGAATAAACAGTACACATAATTATTTATAAGTAATTACTAAGATGATACGAGAGTGCAGTTTAAAATGATCTTGTTTTACTGGCACAACAAATCGTGGATTACTCGACTCTTCTAGCATCAGCTGGCTATTGTGTTTGTGGAGTTCAAAACACGTGTTACCTATGGGGAGGTTGCATAGTGCCCTCTGGTGGACAAACCATGCAATTGTTCAACTCACAAAATAGCTGAAGGGTGTTTCTCCCATCTTCTCTACTTATTTATTTAGATCTATCCACCATTAAAAATGATATCAGCAGGTAGCTAATATTGATCCCACTGACATGTTGGTCAGGCTTGGTACAACAACCCAAACTTGGTATCTGGCTAACAGTAACTGCACTGTTCTCCAAAGAGAATATTCATTGTAAATACATACTGTGTGTAAACACTGATGGAGAGCCAGCAAACGCATAGGCGCAAGTGGTCAAGATGGGACTCCCAAAGTAATCTGAAAAGAGCAGCCACGCTAATTGTGTATGTCATTAGGAGGGCTAACAACACCAGCAACAACTGTAATATAAAGACAAATTTTTATCACAAGACGAAAGACGAAATGATCAAACTTTCCACTCTGTCCTTCTCCATATTCTGCAGGCTAGCGGCTAGCTGCCCACGAAGCCCGGTGCCAGAGACTGATTCTAGGCAGAGGGAGCCAGGTAATGATCCTCAGTCCTTCCATCAGACAGCCTCCACACATTGAGCCGGATCATGCTTTAGCTCCCTGACAGTCAGTCAAAATGATGGCCTCGGTGGTAATCGGGGGACATCGGAAGAAGTCCCTCACGTTGAGAGGTGTGGACCCAGAGACCTGCATGATCGTGTTTAAGAACCACTGGGCACAGGTGATCTTTTTATCTACTCCTGCATCATCTTCATCTTCACTGGTTAATCTGTGCTTTGCTTCACAGATAAAGTCACTACTGACATGTTTTTTTTAGCTGCTCTTTGTCTCTTCTGCCTATCTGGCCTGGCCTAATTTCACTTATAATGACTGTGTGACTGTCTGCGTGTGTCTACGAATGTGTGTCAGCATTACTGGCCAGACTCTGGCCCTTAAACACAGGATCCATTTAGTACAAATCACTCTCCACAGCTGCCAAGAAAACCCCCACACACTCTGCATCGTCTGTGTGTGTACAAGTATTTTGTGTGTGTTTGCAAGTGTGTGCATGTGGTCCTTGTCTGAAGCAGCCAATGTCAAAGGTTAACACAAGTCCAGAGAGTGAATTGCGTTCTTGTTTCATTCATCTCTTTTTTATCCCTCCCACGGCTATCTCTCTGTTGAGGCATCTTAAATGTTTTACAGCAATAAAATTATTTTCTTTATTAGACAAATAAAAAAAAAAGTTTAGTCCATTTTATGTGAGTGCCAGTTAATTTTCCTTCTTGGCGCGTTTCATATGTGGACATTTCAACACAGTCATCGCACTTGGGTGAGGACAGATAATCACACTCACATCCGTTGGCGGAGGTTGTCTCGGTCTGTCTCCAAACAAACTCCCAAGCGGTTTATTTATGATGACAACGTGATCCCACCTCAATCTGCACATCGTACTCAGCAGATTTCAGCTGAGTTTCAGTTTCAGAAATTACGAAGATATTAAATACGATGATTTTGGGAGTAACTTATCCATGTTATCCATTAGTCTGCAATGCAGCACCCTCTGCCTGTATTTCTTTTCTTTGCTCAGACACATTCTGCCAATATATGGACTGAACGGTCTTGTGTGGTTTGTATTAACACATTTTGGTTTGCTTGGAATTTCTCTGTGTTACAAAAAGCAAAAGTACAGGAAATAAACTCATTAACTGATTCAGACTAGAGTAAATAAACAAAATACCCTTTTTCCAAAGGCTGATCGAGGTAAGCTCAACTTTGTTCACAAACTCTAGGGAAATCAAACAAATATACACAGGTCAAAATTGCTCAGAATTACAAAATTACTCCTCAAATAGAACATTGAAATTGCCACTCCATAAGTTTTTGTGGTACCTAGTGGTCATTAGAGGAATTACAACTGTAGTCCTTTAACGTTCAGCTGAGAAGGGTCCGAGACAGCTGCATATAAATATTATTTATAATGCATTGAGGTAAAGAGGTGATGGCAGTAATGATCCAGTTTGGTACCATTAGAAACTAAACGAAGCCAAAATAAAAACATGATATAAATAATGTGTTTCTGTTTTCTTCATGCATTAATTTAAACAGCATTTTGCCCCAGTGACGTTTCTAACCTGGAAGCTTGAGAGATTATTAAGTGACATGCATCATTTATGCCATATTTCATTTAATAAATCTGTCTCCAGCTGTTACGTTTGTACCAGGATAAAGCTTTGGTTTAGTTAGTTTCGTTTTTTAACTTTTCCATGCAGAGTTTTAAATACATTCATTGAAAATGTACTTCAAAAAAATCTGAATACACTTTGATAAAACAGGTATGAGTATCTACGGTTGTGTAGATTTGTCTATTTCCTCTAATCACTCTCATTTCATGTGTTTGTTTTGCTTGTCGTATAAAGATGGCTGTAAACGCATTGTCTTTTACATCCTTGTGTTTCTGTTGTTTTTCAGGTTGTGAAGATCCTGGAGAAACACGAGCCGAGTCGCAGCGGCACCAACGCGCTGAGTTTCCTCACAGGTCATGGTAGCAGCGGTGGCAGCAGCAGCTCCGGAGCGCTACGTCTAGGCCCCATCCCGGCCGATGAGGCCAGCGCCGTCCAAAACTACGTGGAGCACATGCTCTTTCTACTGATGGAGGAAGAGGCGGGCCAAGGTAGGAATAAAGAAATCATCCCTCACTGTGCAACAAATGCAGTAGTATACTGGGACTCAGGAGTGTTTGTGCACCGATACCAGGGGGAGCGATGGGTCCGATCCTGGAGTTTGTGGTCCTTGAGGGTGTGATGGAGAGGCTGTTTCTGTGGAGTCTGAGGAGGCAGTTCACTGAGGACATGAAGCTAGAGCAGCTCAGGATGTACCAGATGCTTTTGTCTCAGGCCAAACAGCCTCTGCTGCACCATAAACCGGTTCTGCGGCCGCTAATGATGCTGCTCGCCTCCTGCGCCGGAGCTGCATCTGGTGAGTTGTAGGTGAAAGTGTTGAAATGTTTATAAAAATATATATATATCTATATATATGTATATATGTATATGTATATATAT